GGTCAGCCCCGCCCCCGCGGTCAGCCCCGCCCCCGCGGTCAGCCCCGCCCCCGCGGTCAGCCCCGCCCCCACGCAGACCGGCCGGGACTGGGCAGAGCCCGTTCGGTTCTAAACCGAAAACGAAACCAGAGCGAACCCCCGCGGCTCTTCCTGGGTCCAGGGGCTGGGCAGGTCCCGCGGCCTCGGGGTGAAGTTCGGACCCGGAGACTCGGGGCGACCCGTCCGTGGCGACGAGGGGACCCGTGACCTGCGACCCGGACCGGCGTCACTCACCGGCGTCGCTCTGGTTGTAGTAGCGGAGCGCGGTCCGCAGGTTCACTCGGAAAGTCTCTGCGGCGCCCTGGACTCTCCGTGTCTGCTCGTCCCAATACTCCGGCCCCTCCCGCTCGATCCACGGCGCCCGCGGCTCCTCTCTCGGATTCGCGGCGTCGCTGTCGAACCGCACGAACTGCGTGTCGTCCACGTAGCCGACGGAGATGAAGCGGGGCTCCCCGCGGCCGGGCCGGGACACGGCGGTGTAGAAATACCGCAGGGAGTGGGAGCCTGCGGGCGGGGAGCGGCTGAGACCACCGACCCCACTTCCCGCGCGGCGCCCGGGTCCGGGGTCGATGGGGGCGGGGAGGGGAGGGGGGCTCGTGGCCGGAGAAGGGGCGGCGGGAGGAGCAGGGCCGGGAAGTCGTGGGGGGAGGGAAGGGGGCGGGGGAGGGTGGTCGAACGGGCGGAGGGGAGAGGTGTCTGAGCGGGGCAGCAGGGACGCGGCTTCCCCGAGGGTCCTGCGTCCCCCCCCGACGGTCCCCTTGCTCCTCCCTCCGCAGAGGCCGTTTCCCTCCCAACCTCGCACTCACCTGCTCGGGTCAGGGCCAGGGCCCCCGAGAGCAGCAGCAGGAGGATCTGGGACGCCATGACCCTGAACACTGGATTCAGGGGAGACTGAGTTCTGGCAGGTTCGTTCGGACCTTACAGCCAGGAACCGAGGAGACACTGATTGGCTACTGCAGAAACCAGACACTCAATGGGAGTGAGAACTGGCGTCTCGTCATGTGCGTCCGGGCAAAAAGAAGTGACACAGGTTGTGAGAGCGAGAAAGCGAGACTCCCGGGAGATGGGGAATCCTCAGCGCTGGGCTTTCTCACTGCGGACACCGCCCTCCGGGCCTGAGAGCCAAGCCCGGGTATTAGGACTTTGTCCTGATCCCTCTCCTCCTATACCCACCACTCTGTCACACTAGCTCCCTGAGTCCTACCCTAGGCTGTCTGAGGAAACCGGGGAGAGACCCCCAGGCTGGGGCCAGGCCTTTTCTTCCTCTTCCCTTCTTGGAATGCCTTTCGCTGAACTGGACTCCCTACCTCCCACCCGTTTCTTCTGCCCACTGGACTCCTCTAGAAGAAAATTCACCCGCAAAGGACTTCATGCCAGAGAGTGAGCTCACCTTAGGAATGGGGTGGAAGGACAAGGGTTTCCTCTTTAAACTCAGAAGTGGTTGTGTCTGAAGACACCACATAGATAGTCCCATAGAGACGAGTTTCTTTTTTATTAACGGCAGTGAGTAGCTCAACTTTGATAACCCCAAACCATCAGAAATCTAATCTGTAAGAGTAGTGATTTTGTCCATTTTTGTATGAATGTGTCTGAAAGGCTCTGCAGTCAGGCTCACGAAGTTGCGAAGTTTCACTTTCGCAAACAATGCATCTCTGCCTCCTGGGTTAGTGTATATCACAATTGTCTTCCTTTCATAGCCCTGAGTTTGTCTGAGTCCCACACCTATCTTCAATACAAAGAAGCCCGTGAAAGCGTAGTTTGTTACTGTATGTTTTAACCAGAAGAGTGTAGGAAACTTAACCTCCTCAAAGTTGCAAGTGTTCAGTCCAGTCAAAATGCTTTTCACCAGTGCACACGCATTGACTGTGTGTATGAAGTCTTAACATCTAAAGGATATAACGGAAAGGTTGGCAGTTCAGGCCCACCCAGGGGCACTGGGGAAGAAAAGGCCTGTTGATCTGTTGCCCTTAAGATTTCAGC